CATCTGTTTCTGTTTTTTGGGCATAATCAGGAATTATCTGTGGCCTTAATACTTAGATGGGTGTGTATTTTGGTATTTTTTATGCTTTCTGATTTCCTCCAGGTAGATGTGATCAGGAAATGGGCTTCCTTTTTCACTCTTCTTCCTGAGAAATTTCAAGATGCCACTATTGGTTATTATGATGTAACTCAGGATTTAATTTTCAGCGTATTTCCTTTTTAGTCTGCCTGTCCTACTCCACAACCCTTGTTCTTACCTTTTTCACAGTGATAAAACAGTTTAGGGCCGGCTGTGGCCCTTTTGTGCTGCTGTTTGGTTTTAAGTGGGAATGGTCCCTTTAAATTTTGAGGAGCTCTGTGTGCATGAGTAGTCAAACCCTCCAGGGGTGGGGGTGGGGTGTCCACCCGCTCAGGCACCCCCTTTAGTCACCAGAATGGAGGTGTGCAGCCACCTAGAGACCAATGAACAGATACAAAAAAAAAAAAAAAAAAAGAGTATCCACACCTTTATCTCTGCAGTTCTGTCAGGCATCTGTGGCTGCTCTGATTCTTCCCTGCTTGGTCTCACCCAAGATAGTGGCTCCATGAGCAGCTGAGCATCGTGGATTAGAAAGCACTGGATTTCTTGCTTCTGCTACAAATTCCCCTAGCTGTAAGCCTTCCAACCTTAAAAATATTCCTTTATATGTGGTTCAGAATTCTGGCAACATCCCCTAAGTCTGCTTTGTCTGGTATTCTGTGTTGTTGCTGATGGAGCTACTCACTGCACTTCTACCCGATCTGCCACCTTGTTTGTTCTCCTTCTCCTCCTATTCTTGACTCTCCTTCTTCCTCTGTTGCTTCAGGTGAATAGAAACCAATTGTCATGCCTTGGATAGTGACTTGCAAACATTTAAGGCTCCAGGCACTACACAACAACATGTTATTAGGCCAATTAACTGGGATGTCCCATGAAACCATGACCCTAAATATTCAAACAACAAAACCAAATCTCTTAGTTTTTTTGTCATTTGTACATAAATAGCCTTGGGGTTTGCTTTTTGTCATGATTATAAATATACCTATCACACAACTTTCTCCAGATTAATTTTTTACTTTTGTACAATTTATTAACAGCAGTTACAATAATTGGTTATGCCACCCTACCCTTAACATGATTTTTAGATCACTATTAGCCCCCTCTGTCGCATCTCTCCTGACCTTTGTAGCCACTAATAAAGCTTGATTTCTATACATTTTCCATTCTTGGTATTTTTTTTAATGTAAATGAAATCATACAATATTTGTCCTTTTCTAATTGACTTATTTCACTCACCATAATATCTTTAAGCCCATCCATATTGTTGCATGCATCAAGACTTCATTTATTCTACTGACTGAGTCATATTCCATTGTATGTATGTACCACATGTTACTTATCCCTTCATGTTTATGGGCATTTATATTGTTTCTACCTGTTGGTTATTGTGCATGGTGCTGCAATTCTCATTGGTGTACAAGTCCCTGAATCTCTGCTTTCAGATCTTTTGGCTATATATTTAGGAGTAGGATATTGTTGGGTCATATGGTAGTTCTAGTTTTAGTTTTTTGAGGCACCACCATAATGTTTTTCACAATGACTATACTATTTCCATTGCCACCAACAATGGTTAAGGGTTCCAATTTCCCCACATTTTTGCCATCATTGGTTATTTTCTGTGTTTGTGTGTGTGTATATCTTAGCCATCCTAGTTGAAGTGAAATGATATTTCTAATTGTGGTTTTGATTTGCAGTTCTCTGATGGCTAATGAAGCTGAGTGTTTTTTATGTTTGACTTGCAGAATGTACCCTTTGGTAGTGCAAATTATTATATATGCTTGGGTGTTTAAAAAAAAAAGCTAAAGTGAATAGAGAGAAATACTGTTATCTGATGGTACATGGAGAGATATAATCATTGTATAATTTGTTTAATGTAAAACTGATCATCTGCCATGAAAACTTTCACTCAATTCACAATAAAACTTTATATGTAATGCCAACACTCTTATTCTGTTACAATTGCTTTATCAACTTTCTTTTGGTTGCTTGTTGTTTGCATCTGATGTCTTTTTCTACCCCTTGTCTTTTATTCTGGTGTGGCGCTGTGGGTTAAGGCGCCAGACAGCAAAGCCGTTTGTACTGCAAGGTCGGCATTCAAGTTCACTAGCTGCTCCTTGGGAACCCTATACAGGGTCGCTGTGGGTCGGAATTGACTCGATGACACTTCATAACAACAACATTTAAGGAGCTCTGGTAGCGTAGTAATCGGGCTGCGAACCTCAAGGTCAGTAGTTAGAAACTACCAGTTGTTCCATGGGAGAAACATGAGGCATTCTGCTCCCGTAAAGATTTATAGCCTCAGAAACCTGTACAGGGTCGCTATGAGTCGGAACCGACTCCACGGCACATAACCACCACCACCACCATAGTCTATATTTGGAACCAAGTTATGGCGCTGAGGGTTAATGTGCCAGACTGCAAAGCCGTTTGAACTGCAAGGTCAGTGGTTCAAGCTCACCTGCTGCTCCTCAGAAACCCTATACAGGATCACGATGGGTCGGAACCAACTCGACGGCACTTATCAACAACAACATTGCCTATATTTAAGATGTGCCTCTAATGGAAGCTTATAGTTGAGTTTTGCTTTTTTTTCAATCTAGCATGACTAAATGAAATGATAATCTAAATCTTTTGATTGAAATAGTTTCTGTTTGCATTTAATGTATTTACTCATATGTTTGAATTTATTCTTGTTAAGTGCAGTTGAGTAGGTTCTGACTCATAGCAACCCTTATAGGGTTTCTGAGGAGCAGTTGGTGGGTTTGAACTGCCAACCTTTTGGTTCGCAGTCCAGTGCTGATCCTACAGTACCACACCATGAGTCCATATGTTTGAGTTTAGTTATATTACTTTTTGTTTTATATGTGTCATATCCATTTGTTCCCTTTTTTTGGATTAAGTATTTTTATTATTCAGTTTTCACCTCTACTAGATACTTGGTTGTACATTCTATTATAATTGTTTCATTGATTACTCTGGAGTTTACAACAGGCATCCTTGACTTAAGCTCTAATGTAAACTAGTACACTTATCATTTTCCATGGACTCCTGGTGTCGTACTGTAGGATCAGCACTGAACTGTCAACTACAAAGTTGGCAGTTCAAACCTACCAGCTGCTTCTTAGAAACCCTATAATGGGTCACATAGGTAATCAATTTAATTAATTTCTGGTTTACTATTTTGTGCTTCTTTCTTACATAAAAGGCAACATATTATGTACGTGTTCTATAACTTATCTTATAACAGATACTTAAGATTCTAAACATTATTTGCTCTCATCTGGTATATGTTTTAACGGGTTAAAAATCAAATTAACATTCTTCCCCAGGCCTGTTTTTTGAAAACCCTGAAACTCAAGATTCCTGAATACAGAAAGCTGCCATCTGGCACTGAATTTGCTTTTCTTTGTAAATTTTATTTATGATAAATAGTGGTCCTTTTCATTTTCTATATGTGGGCAAGGGTTCTTCTTGTTGACAGATACTTTTTGTAATTTGTAGATTGAAAGGATCCAGAATCTAGATCTCTGGAATTGCTACCAAGCAAAGAAAAAAACCATGGATGCCAAGAACAGTCAGACAAATAATGAGATGCTTCTCTTCCATGGGACAGATGAAGGCTCTGTGCCACATGTCAACCAGAAAGGCTTTAATCGCAGTTATGCTGGAAAGAACGGTAAGGATGTGAGCAGCCGCGCAAGTCCACACTGACTCAGGACTGACTGTGTGGACAGTATTCTGTTCCCTCAGGGGGTGGGTGACATGTTGTAGCCACAGCTTCAGGGTAGCATGCAGTTTTTTCTCAAAGGGTACGGACTGGCCTTCAGGGTAGAGGAACTGTTTGTTTAAAAATTTTTTTTAATTAAAAAAAAAAAAAAAGGTAGGAAAAAAAGGCATTAGAGAGAAAAATGGAACATTATTTTAACATTATCTTATATGTTGGGCCAACATGTTAAATTTTACAAGTTGAAATTGGTCAAATTGTCTTTTCTCTTCACAGCTGTGGCCTATGGAAAGGGAACGTATTTTGCTGTCAATGCTAATTATTCTGCCAATGACACTTACTCCAGACCAGGCAGTAATGGGATGAAGCACATGTACTATGTGCGAGTGCTGACTGGCATCTACACAGTTGGAAATAGTTCATTAATTGTGCCTCCTTCAAAGAACTCTCAAGACCCTACTGATCTGTATGACACCGTCACTGATAATACGCAGAATCCATCTTTATTTGTGGTGTTCTATGACTACCAGGCTTACCCAGAGTACCTCATTACTTTTACAAGATAAAGTTTTAGTTGCCTTCCCAAAAGATAGTGTTCATCTATACATATTTCATTCTAAAGTACGTTTTAGCTTGTTTTTAATCTCTGAACGGTTTTCTTCAAAACTCAAAGGATCCTTCTTTGTCACTGAAAGTAGCCTTTTCAGCTTTCCTCTCATAATATGGAGCGAACCTAGTCTGAGAGCAAATACATTGGAGAATTTAAATCAGGTAACTTAGTCAGAATTCTGTGATCACAACGGTAGACATTAAATTCTGTGTAAGAACAGGCTTGTATTTTCAGGAGAGAGAGAACAGCGTTCATCGTGCAGACAGAGAGAACAGCTGCGGGTTTGAGTGGCCACTGACACTATCATGCCAGAATGCCATATTGCTGTGGGGAGAACAACTTAGTGATGAGGGCTGCTGACTTCCCTGTGGGAGAAGTGGCATTGTCATGTTTTGATCTCTGGGCTGAGGACTGTGCTTGATAAACAATCGTTGTTAAGTTCCGAGTCGGTTCCAACTAACAGTGACCCTTTATAAGGTTTCCAAGGTTGTGCAGGAACAGAAAACAGCTTTCTCATACAGTGGCTAGTGGGCTCGAACCACCGACCCTGGGGCTTACATCCAGTGCTTATGGTACAGAGCCACTGCACTCCTCTGGTATACAGTGGATGCTTCAGAAATGTTTGATAAACCAGTTAAGAGTCGAAAAGCCTAGCTAAACTCTCACCCCAAATAGACACCATTTATCACCATCCTGAGTTATTGTTACTTTGCCTCAAATTGAACAAGTTCTGGAACAAAAAATTCCCTTCTTGAATCAGTCCATAACATTTTGACAGCTTATCCGGGCTCTGGGGTCACAGGGTGGTTTGTGCCCTCACAACTCCATCGGGAGATGTGATTTGGTGTGGTCCTGGTGACTTGTCTTGGGGAGCTGTGGCGTTCAGCAGCCCTGGCTCCAATGACAGAAGGTCCTTTTTAAATGTTGACCCAATGTTGACCTTGTGATCCAACTAGGACATGCATATGCATCAGTTTTGACATCCTAGTATGCATATATAAAGGCCAGTCCCACAGGGGTCCAAGGGGACCTCACTACCATCAAGAAGAGTCTGGAGTAGAGCATGTCCTTTGGACGTGAAGTTCATGTGATGAGAACTTTTTTGATCCAGAAGAGAGAACTGTAACACCAAAGCCTAGAGACAATAATTTGTCAGTCCACAGCGAGAGAAAGAGCTAGCGAGTGTCTTTGGACAAGCGGTTTGCCTGAGCAGTTAAAGACTTGTAACTTGGAGGGCAAAGGTCTCAGGTACCACATGCAGGGATAGATGACAGGTCAGATCTTGTGCAGAGGCCTTCCTTTAACGGGTGGAGCCAGATGCCTCCCAGCTAAAGAGCTAGAACACTTGCCTGTTAGGGTAGGGGCACATCCCTCTCCTTCCCACAGCTTGGTGGGAGCCACATGGCCCCTTGGGCAGTATGAGAACCACTAAGGACTGGGCTGGCAGGGGCACCTGCAGTGTGGTGTAGTCTGAGTAGAGGCAATGGTGATATGAACACAGTACCTGATCTGAAACATGGTGTCTGCCTGACAACACACGAATGTTGTTGTTAAGTGCGGTCGAGTCGGTTCTGACCCATAGCAACCCTGTATAGAGTTTCTGGGGAGTAGCAGGTGACCTTGAACTGCCAACCTTGCAGTTCAAAGAGCTTTGCGGACTGGAGCATTAGCCCAGTGTCCCCTTTTAGCATTTCCTTAGTATTGTTTACTGTTTGCTTTCTATAAATAAATACTGGCTTTCACTTTCCCAATACTGTGTGTCTCATGTGTCTGGCTTGATCACAGATGAAAGTAACACCTACAGCATGGTTGAGTCTAGCTCCTAGAAGTCTTGGAAGTTGGAGGCACAACCTGTCTGTCTACAAATGTGCAATGTGGATACAGGTGCTTTGACATACATTATTTATTCCTGCAAACAATCCTGTAAAGTGATTCCTAGTCTGCGGATGCCTAAAATTACCTTCAGATTAACAGAACCCCTGTGACATCAAACCCTTCGCTCTTCTCACTAGAACATATGTTGTTGTTGTTGTTGTCAGGTGCCATCGAGTCGGAACCGACTCATAGCGACCCCATGCACAGCAGAACGAAACAATGCTCGATCCTGGGCCAACCTCACCACCGCTGCCACCCCCGAGTCCATCAATGATGCCACCTGGCCAATCCATCTCGTTGGAGGTCTTCCTCTTTTTCTCTGACCCTCCACCCCACCCAGCATGACATCCTTCTCCAACGATTGTTTCCTCCGGACTACATGTCCAAAGTAGGAGAGACGAAGCTTAGCCATCCTGGCCTCCAAGGAGCACTCTGGCTGCACTTCTTCCAAAACAGATCTATTGGTTCTTTTGGCAGTCCATGGCACCCTCAGTATTCTCCTCCAACACCACAACTCAAAGGCATCAATTCTTCTACGATCCTCCTTATTCACTGTCCAGCTTTCGCATCCATATGAGGCTATTGAAAACACAATGGCCTGGGTCAGGCGCACCCTAGTCCTCAAGCTGACTAGAACATATGCCCTCTGTTAATGTTACCAATTCAGAAATATGTCAGACAACTGTGCTTTGTCTTTGACTTCCATTATCTCTTCACCCAAGCTGTGCAGCCCAAGTGGCCAGAGATGATCTTCACGTGGAGTCAGTGTGATAACAGGGTCACTTGAAGGATCAAGGTGTTTTTCCCTGACCCATGGGTACAAGTTGGGGTCTATCCAGTGAAGGAGGTTGAGGGGTCACAGTTATTGCTTCCTTATCAGATATGTTGAAATTTCTCTTATTGTTGGTTGCTTTTTAAGTGGATTGGCAAAGATTCCTTATGGTTTCAGAGTGGCTTTTCAACTCAGCATTGGCAATAAATACAAGAAATTAGAATTTAACAAGAGACTTGCTAATTTGCCTTTGTTCTCTGATGCTTTGATTTAACTCATGGCAAGAATGGACTGTACTTAAGTGTAATGATCCCATAAAAAAATATTATAGCTATCCTTCATCTAAAGAAATAGCTCATTTTCTTTCATTTTTGAATAAAAAAGCAGAAAAATGTCATTTAGTGGTAAACATTTTTCTCCTAGAGGGCAAATACAGGGAAGCATGATGAAATGGCACAATTGAAACATGGCAGCATCCACAGAAACTAAGCATTAATAATGTTCAGCTGAAAATGATAGGAAGGGCACCATATAGGTTTAGTTCAGTACAACTGAAGAGCAAATGGAGTTCTGTTAACTAACACTAGCCCACTTTTGAACCCATGATAGGTAGTGTTGACCTACCTAAGGGGCAGCAATTCGGAAACTCTTTATTCATTTAAATGACCTGTGATGTTTGTTGGCACTGCAAGTTCCTGTCCCATCTCAGAGGAATCTGATTTTGTAGTTCTAGAGTGATGCCCAGGAATCTGTATTTTTAACAAGCACCTCAATGATTCTGATTAATGAGTGTATTGTTATAAAGATGAATGTGGAGACTGGATTATATTCTATTATTTCTGATTAGGCCAGGGATTGGCGGACTTTTCCTGTAAACAGTGAATACTTTCTGCGTTGCAGGCCATTCATTCTCTGTCACTTCTCAACCTAGCCATTGTAACCCTAAAGTAGTCATAGACAATATGCAAACAAATGGGTGTGGTTGTCTCAATACACTTTTATTTCTGAAGACAGGCAGTAGGCCAGTCTGTGGACCTGGTTTAGGCAGATGGAGATTGGGGCTACATTAAATGGGAATGCGATGGAGGAGGAAATAACGAGCAGGCAGCCAATATGGCCAGACAATATGTGCATGAAAGAAGGTAACAAAGACTTTGAAATTTAATTTGAGGTGCTGTAGGATCAGTGTTGGACTTTGAACCACAAAGCCAGCAATTCAAATACACCAGCTGTGCCTCACAAACCCTATACAGGGTCTTTATGAGTTGAAACTGACTTGACAGCACTTAACAGTGCATTTACAAGGGAGTGCAGTGGTTTCATATGAAAAGCATCGGACTGGGAACCAGAGGGTCTGTGGTTCGAACCCGCCAGGTGCTCTGCAGGATTATGATGAGGCTTTCTGATTCTGCAAAGATTTAAAAAGCCTTGGAAACCCTGTGCAAGGTCGCTGCGAGTTGGACTGGAAGGCTCTTAACGATAACAACAATAGTACATCTTTATTTAAAAACCACACTAACTAAACAAATAGTTAAAAAAAACATTAAAAACATCTATTAGCATCACAAAGTTCTTCCTTGTATCAAAAGTTGAGCCACTATCCTGGTAACTTGTGGATTCACTAAACAGTCCAGCAAGTCATCTGTAGAAATGGATGTTTGAGGAGGGGCCATCGTACTATTTGAAGCAAACTGTTTGTTCACAGTTGCAGTCTCGCTTTTATACATCATTCGTGGCCTCTTTATACAATGTAATTTTCCAAAGCATTCATCATCTTTGGTGACAAAGTCTTTACTGTCACCTTCAAAAATACCTCCTATATCTGTGGATGGGTCTTTGGAACTTGGCATTACAGGAAGCAGGTTGGGGCCAAACACACTTGCTGTCTTTGGTTTTCCAGTTCCCACAGTTAAGTTCTGACAACGTGGATAGTTCACTTCCTCATGGTCGTGCACAGTGAATTTTTTCTTTATCGTGTGCTCTTCATTTGTTCCCACTGCTTGAATTTCAACTTCCTTAGATGTTCTGTAATGATCAAAAAGGGCCCCAACAGCTCCATTTAAGTACCGACAATTGATTTCATGGGATATCTCCTCAACCTAAGGACAAAAAAAGAGCCCTTTAGAATGGCTACATGCATATAGTTAAACCGGAAAACAAACCAATGTTTTACTGAGGAGAACTAAGTGCCACGATGAAGTAGCATACCTCAGTTGGGTTTAACCAAGCTTTGGTATTGTCTGGATCCTCTGCGGTTTTCAGGGCGCATACAAGCATGCGTGTGATTGCCTCTTCTACCCGGGCTTGGTGATCCTCTTCCTAAGTTGAGACAAAAACACATTTTTCCATTTGTCTCTTTGTCTCAGGGCTTAAAACAAAAGCAAAGCAAAACAAAAACTCGTGGCTATTGAATCAATTCCAACTCATGGCAACACCATGTGCTTCGAAGCAGAACTGTGCTCCAGAGTTTTCTTGGTTATAATTCTATACAAGTCTATCACCAGGCCTTTCTTCACAGTACTGCTGGGTGAATTAGAAAAGTCAATTAACCTTCTGGTTAGGAGCCGAGAGTAAACCACTTGTGCAACCCAGGGACCAAAACCAGAGAGTAGAGTCTCTCTTAATTGTGCCTTCTGTTCTTTCATTAATACAGTGGTGGTCGTGTGTCGTGGAGTCGGTTCAGTCTCATAATGACCCTGTATAGGGTTTCTGAGGTGGTAAATCTTAACAGGAGCAGAAAGTCTCATCTTTCTCCCACATAGTGACTGATAGTTTCAAACTGCTGACCTTGAGGCTTGACTCAGGCTTGTTGTTTAATTAACAAAGACTTTACTGCAGAAGGAGTGAATGTGATGCTGGAGGGACCACAGTTGTTATGACTCCACTATCACTGCCATCTAGTATATATTCAGTCAATGAGACTAAAGCCTTAAGTCTGAATCATCTTATGAAGTGTTGTTTTTCCAATCTTTGACATGTGTTTAAAGTTAAAACAAACAAACAAACAAAAAAAGCACTATATTCAGAGGAACAATTCCTAAAAGGTTTGATAAGCAAACTGTTTGAAGTCTGGGAAGAAAATGAAAATGAACATGCCTGGTTTTAAGAATGACATGACTAACCATTTTAACATGGTTTACTTAAGATACAATAATTATAAACCATAGATTTGGTGATAAATTACATTAAAACCAACAATTTATGTTCTTCTAAAGATACCATAAAAGGAAAAAAGTAGGCAGAAGGTAAGAACAAGAGTTTCAAAAAAGGACCAATTATGAACAATAAACATGAAAATATCCTTGACCCCATTAATAATCAGAGAAATGCAAATTGGGAAATGAAACTGACAAAAATTAGGTCTGATTAACACCAAGTAGTACAGAAATGTGTATTTATAGATAAAAAGTTTATACACTGATGGTAGGAATGAAAACTGATAGCTACAGTCACTTGGAAAATGTGTTGGCTTTTATCTTATAAAACTAAATTTTATATACTCTACAAACCAGCAATTCCATTCATTCATGTACATACAGATTGTTATTTAGTGCTGTTGAGTCAGTTCTGACTAATAGTGACCCTGTATAGGGTTTCTGGGAAGCACAAAATCCTCTAGAGAAACTTTTGTACACGTGTACTGGAAGATGTATACAATAATATTCTACTCATAATAGAAAAATGGAAACAAGACAATTATCCAGCAAACAGAACAATGGGCGAAAAATGTGTGGCTCATTAATAGAAGAGAATATTGTACCATAGTGAAAATGCACATGTGACAACACACATAAATCTTGGAAACAACACTAAATTCAAAAAGGAAAGCCCCATGGTGAGACACCATTAACCACTTAGTAAGTGCTGTTGAGTCAGCTCTGACTCACAGGGATCATGTACAGGGTTTCCAAGGTATGACTGGTGAGTTTGAACTGCCAACCTTGCTGTTCAAACCGACCTAATGGTCCAGTGCTTATCCTACAACTCCACACTTTGTTGTTAAGTGCCACTGAGTCAGTTCCGACCTAGTATAGGATTTCCAAGGAGCTCCTAGGTGGGTTTGAACTGCTGACCTATGGTTCAACCTGACCCTGTGGTCAAGCGCATTATCCCGCAGCACCACACCAAGACTAAGATGGCTACAATCAGACATATAAAAAGGAAGTGCTTCTGAAGATGAAAAGAAACGAAGTCAGCCCACTGCTGGTGGGAATGGAAACTGGAGCAGTTGCTCTGGAAAAGATTAAACAGCTATGAGATGACCCAATAATCCCACTCCTAACCATATATCCAAAAAGTTATAGACAAATGTTCACAGCAGCATTATTTGTACTGGCTAAAACGAAACAACTCAAATGTCCACCAACTGATGACTCAAATAAAATACAGTGAAAAACAAAGAAATGAAGTACTGCTACTTGCTACAACATAGATGAACCCTGAAAACATTATGCTAAATGAAAAGAATCACAAAAGACCACATATTGTAGGATTCCATTTATATGACATTTCCAGAATTGGCAGTGGGAGAAGTGCCGGGCTGTGCATCACAAATCTGGAGGTTAAATCCCATCTCACCATGGGAGAAAGATGAGGCAGTCTGCTCCCATAAAAGTTTACAGCTTCAGAAACCCTATGAGCAGCTCTATTCTGTTCTATAGGGTAGCTATGACTTGTAACACGGCTGTTGTTAAATGCTGTTGAGTCGGTTCCGACTCATAGAGACCCTGTATAGTTTTTGAGGAGAGGCTGGTGAGTTTGAACTACTGACTTGTGGTTCAAACTGACCATGCAGTTCCAGAGCATTACCCCACAGCACCACACCAAGACTCGAGTTGGAGAGTATTCAACGGCAAATAGTAGGCAAAGCTGTTATTTATTTTTTTTAAAGCAAATACTAGAAGACAACATTAACTATGATACTACTTGTATAAAACTAAAAATTAAGCACAAAACTACACAATATATTTTGTATATAAGTATATGCTGTTGTTGCTATTCAGTACAGTCAAATTGGTTCTTATTCATAGTGACCCTGTATAGGGTTTCCAAGGAGTGGTTGGTGGGTATGAACCATGGAACTTGTGGTTACTAGTCTGGTGCTTATTCTATAGCACTACACCAGGTTTCCATATATGTGATAGAGTGTTTTTGTTTTTTTCCTTAAGAGCGTGAGGATAGTGAAATGAGACATGCATGGTTGACCATTCATGGTGAGCATACCTCACGAGTGCTGTTGTCCCCTCTACACACCTTTCTATTGCTCGGCTGAAAAATGGGTCATGAGGGTGAGTTCAGTTCCAGAGCTGGAAGGTGGCTGAGGGCCACAGTCTCAGGTTCCTCCAGTCTGGTCTTTGTTTATAATTTTGAATTTTGTTCCACATTTTCTCCCACTCTACTGTGACCTTGTAATGTGATCCCTTTCAGAGCAGTTGGTAGACAGGCACCATCTAGTTCTTCTAGTTTCAGAGTCGTGGTGACTGATGCTCATGTGTTTCATTAGTCCACTGGACTAGTTGATTCCAAGCACCTTCAATTTTCTTCCCCCTTCTTTCTTTGGCACATGGAGAGACACTAGTTGCACCTAGATGCCAAAATGGCTGCAAAAATATATTGATAGGGAACTGCCAGAGGTTCAAGCCAGATTCCAATGAGGACATGGAACAAGGTATATCACTGTTGACGTTAGATGAATATTGGCTAAAGCAGAGAATATGAGAAAGATGTTCATCTGTGCTTTTATATTAACTACGCAACAGCTTTTGAATGTGTGGATCATGACAAGCTATGGACATCATTGTGGAAAATGAGTATTCCAGAACACTTAATTGTGATCATGAGGAACTTGTACTTAAACCAAGAGGCAGCTATAGAATAGACCAAGGGGGCACTGAATGCTTTAAAATTAGGACAGGTATGCACTAGGTTGTATTCTTTTACTATACTTATTCAATCTGTGTGCTAGGCAAACCTGAGAAATTGGATTATATGAAGAAGAATGTGCATCAGGATTGGATGAAGACTCCTTAACTACCTGCTATATACAAATGAGATAATCTTGCTTGTTGAAACTGAAGAGGACTTAAAATATTAATAAATACCAAAGACCACAGTCTTCAACGTTCATTGCATTGCACCTCAAGGTAAAGAAAACAAAAATATTCACCACAGGACCAATAAATAACATCAGGATAAATGGAGAAAAGATTGAAGTTGTCAAAGACTTCATTTAGCTCAACACTTATGGAAGTCAAGAAATCAAATGGCATATTGAATTAGGCAAATATGCACAAGACCTCTTTAAAGTGTTCAAGAGCAAAGATGTCAGTGTGAGGACTAAGGTACACCTGACCCAAATGTAGCCTCATGTGCATGTGAGAGATGGATATTGAATATAGAAGATGGTAGAAGAATTGATACATACGAGTTATGGGATTGGAGAAGAATATTAAAAGTACCATGGACTGTCAGAATAACAAGAAAATCTGTGTAGAAGAAGTACAGTCAGAATGCTCCTTGGAAGCCAACATGGCCAGACTTTGTCTCTCACACTTTGGACATATTATCAGAATGGGCCAGTCCCTGCAAAAAGACATCATTCTTGGTAAAGTGGAGGGTCAGTGAAAAGAGGAAGATCCCCTATTAGAAGGAATGACATAGTGACAGCAGCAATGGGTTCAAATGTAACAATGATTGTGAGGCTGGAGCTGTTGTGCATAGGGTCACTATGAGTCGGTACCAACTCGATGGCACGTAACAACAACCAATCCTTCTAGAAAATCTACAGAGACAACTAATAGATATATGAGAGGGCTTCAAATTTTATGGAAAAGATGGAATTAAAAGATTTTTCATTTGAATTTTCCCACAAGCTGTTTGAAGTCCCCCAGCATAACTAGCTTCTAAGAAAACCATGGTCAAGGTTTCCATGCCTCTAAAGTCACACAATTTCAAATGTTTCCATATGTTTGCCATAAAGTTTTCAATGGCTGGTTTTTCAGAAGTATATTGCCAAAGCTTTCTTCCAAGGCACTTCTGGGTGGACTCAAACTTCAACCCTTTCAGTTGCAGCCAAGCACATTAACTGTCTGCAGCACCCAGGGAGAGGGAGGCACATTAAAAAGGGGAGGTATCCCATAGGGGAGTGTAGAAGGGAAAGGAGAAAATGGTCAATGGTAGTATAATTTTGTAAATTTTTTATACTGTATGTTTTTGTTACGTGCCATCCAACCCATAGCATAGCGATCCTGAACAAAGTTTCCAAGGAACAGCTGCTGGGTTTGAACTGCCAACCTGGGGAGTTAGCAGTCCAGTGCTTATTCTACAGTGCCATATATATATTTGTTGTTGTGAAGTGCCCTTGAGTCGGTTTCAACCCATAGCGATCCTGTATAGGGTTTCCAAGGAGCAGCTGGAGAGCTTGAACCACCAACCTTGCAGTTCAAACGGCTTTGCAGTCTGATGCATTAGCCCACAGCGCCACACCAGGACTCCATATAGATAAAATACTATTAAAAGGTAAAATGTTATAAGCTAAAGCTATGTATTGCAAATCCTACAGGAACCATACACACACAAAAGATGCACAAATAGTAAGGCAATAGTGGAGATATAATAATATTATAAAAAAGAAAACGGGAAAAATAACAACAATAAATCTGTTAATTCAAAAGTAAGTGCAAGAGCAACAACAAAAAAAGAACAAAAAAGCAGACTGGATTTTTAGAAACCAAATAGCACGATGACAGATTTTAAACCCAAGTCAGAAGCAACTCCACAGTACTTAACAACAACATATCAATAATTACCTTAAATGTCAACCATCTAAATGCTCCAATTAAAAGGCAGAGGTGTTTTACATGGAATCAAAATGACAATATCAACTCAACAACTGTGACAGGAAGTTTATGTTAATGAGAGAGGAGCAACTCAGAGACAGAGGTTGAGAATGGTGTCACTGAATTGTACAAGCAGAAACTGGTGAGTTGGTGTTATGTTTATGTTTTGCTGTGTACACCCTTAAGAGCAATCACAACAAAAATATCCACAACAGATCCAGCCAAGTTCAACACAATTTTAACCACAATAGTCAAGGGAGAGGATCCTGTATGCCAACATCAGGGCATATGGTGCACCCCTAAGATAGTATGGTGGAATCCTGGTGTGGTGCTGTGGGTAGAGGCTCAGGATTGCAAAGTTGGTTTAAACCAAAAGGGTCACTATGGGTCAGAACTGATTCAGTGGCATTTAACAAGATAGTATGGTACATCACTAAGGACCCTATATCCAACCTAAGTGTCTACCAAAAGAGGAGGGAATACATAGATTGTTCTTGTTGTTGTTGTTAAGTGCTGTCGAGTCAATTCCAACCTATAGTGACCTTGTATAGGGTTGCCGAGGAGCAACTGGTAAGCTTGAACCGCCAACCTTGCAGTTCAAATGGCTTTGCAGTTTGGTGCATTAACCCACAGCGCCACACCAGAACTCCATACATAGATTACAGCACATCAAAACACAGTTGTACTGGAGCATTGCTTACAAAATATTCATCACCAAGTCTTATAAAAAGGCTTTCTATATCTCAAAGCAGGGATTGTACATATTAAAAACAATAAAAGTACCAGTTCAATCCATGAGTTTATACTGACAGTGACAGGATCAATGGATTCTACGTAATGCCACCAGTGTCTGGGAACAAACAGAACCTGAAACCAAACAAAAAAAAATGGTCAGTGCATTGTTAAATATAAGCAACAAAATATTTGTTAATTCACCAATTTTTACATGAACTTTTCAGTGACACTGATTAATATTGTTATGACAATTATCACTATCCTTTTCCAAATTATTCCACCACCATTAACAGAAACTCAGTGCTCTCCCCCATTTCCCTCCCACTCCTCATAACCACTAGCAAAGTTTGGTTTCAATCTATTTGCCTGATTCATGTAAATGATATCATACAGTATTTGTCCTTTTGTGACTGATGTATAGTGTTGCTATGAGGCAGAATCGACTCAATGGCAGTGGGCTATTTTACTTGGCATAATGCTTTCAGATTTCATCTATGTTGTGATATGTATCAGGTCTTCATCTTTCTTTCTGGCAGAGCAATATTCCATTGTATTTTGCAGTGCAATACGTTTCCTTATATGGGGCCTTTCTTGTCCTGAGTTTGTAGTTCTGCCAAGATTATCTGCTAGGCTACAATTCTGGAAAAAGGATTTGCTGATCTACTATGTAAATTCTGTTGTTAAGTGCTGTTGAGTCAGTTCTGACTCAAAGTGACTTTGTATAGGGTTTCTGAAAAATGGCTGTTGGGTTTGAACCAACAACATTTCTGTTAGTAGTCCAGTGCTTATCCTACACTGGTTCCACTATGTAAATTGTTGTTGATGTTAGGTGCCATTGAGTCGGTACAGACTCATAGCGATCTTATGCACAGCAGAATGAAACACTGCCCGATCCTGGGCCAACCTCACTACTGTTGCCACGCTCGAGTCCATCGATGCTGCCCCTTGGCCAATCCATTTTATTGGGGGGTTTTCCTCTTTTTCTCTGACCTTCCACCTTACCAAACATGATATCCTTCTCCAGTGACTGGTCCCTCCTGACAATATGTCTCAAATACGAGAGATGACGTTTGGCCATCTTGGCTTCCAAGGAGCACTCTGGCTGCACTTCTTCCAAAATGAATTTATTGGCTATTTTGGCAACCCAAGGAACTTTCGATATTCTCCTCCAACACCATAACTCAAAAGCATCAATTCTTCTACGGTCTTCCTTATTCACTGTTCAGCTTTCACATGCATATAAGGTTACTAGAAATATCATGGCTTGGGTCAGGCGAACCTTAGTCCTCAAGCTGACATCTTGCTCTTCAACACTTTAAAAATGTCTTGTGCAGCAGATGTGCCTATAGCAAAAAGTCATTAAGAAGACAAGAAAGAAGGAAAAGGTCAAAATGGATGTAAGAAGAGACACTGAAACTTGCTCTCCAGCACAGAGATGCTAAAGCAAATGGAAGAAATGAGGAGGTACAAGAGATGAACAGAAAGTTTCAAAGGTCAGCTCGAGAAGATAAAGCCAAATATTACAACAAAATATGCAAAGATCTGGAATCAGAAAACCAAAAAGGAAGAACGTGCTCAGCATTTCTCAAGCTAGGAGAACTGAAGAAAAAAAATTCAAGCCTCGACTTTTGTTACTGAGTCTCTGGGCAAATTATTGAATGATGAAGAAAGCATCAAGAGAAGATGGAAGGAATACACAGTCACTCTACCAAAAGGAAATGGTTGATGTTCAACCGTTTCAAGAGGTAGCATATGATCAAGAGCCAATGATCCTGAGGAAGGAAGTCCAAGGTGCATTGAAGGAATTGGCAAAGAACAAGGCACCAGGAATTGATGAATAAAAATTGAAATCTTTCAAGAAAGTGAGGCAGCATGGGAGGCACTCACTAGGTAAATAAGGAGTGTAAAAACACCCAACAGTAATGAATGATCTTTTGAGGAACTGGTCCATTACTATGCAAATTCAGTGACTGTGGTCTACCAAGAGGATTGGTCAGTTTTGCCATCCTGCTAGGCTTATAAGGGCCAATCCCACAAAGATTCTAGGGAACCTCACTACCATCAAGAGTCTGGAGCAGAGTGTGCCCACAGTCCCTGTGCTAAGAACCTCCTAGACACAAGAGAAAGAGAGAGCTGTAACAGTGAAGAGACCAAGAAATGTTGACAACCACAGTGGAGTCCTGAGGAAGAAAAATGGAGGCAGTAGCATGAGTGGGACCCAGGAGACTGGCAGTAGCCAAGGCGGAGAGAAGGCCCAGCAGTGAACATGACCAAGAACTGAGAGCTGTCTTAGTTGAAGCTGTCCTAAGTCAAGAACTGTATCCTGTCTCCTGAATTGTATCCTGCCTCTTAAGTTGTATCCTTTCTGTTACTGATCCTGATTTGTAGTCTATTACTTCACTAAGAAGCAGCTCTCGTAGTGTAGAAGTTACGAGTTGGCCTACTAATCTCATGGTCAGTAGTTCGAAACTACCAGTCGCATCTCAGGAGAAACACAGGGCTGTCTGCTCCTGTAAAGATTTACAGCCTCAGAAACCCTATGTAAGGTCGCTGTGAGTCAGAACCGACTCCACGGCACACCACCACCAGCACCACCACTGCTTCTCTAATAAATCACGTAACTGTGAGTACACGCCAAGTCCAGTGTAGCTACTGCAATGAATTACTGAACCCCACGAAGTAGAGAGTGCTGTGGAAGGTGGGGGGCAATGAATTATTGGACCCCACAAAGAAGTAGTGAGAGCCGTGAAGAGTGGTGGGGGAACATAACTGGCGTCAGAAGTGGTGAAAATGTTAAGTGGTAGACAATGGTGGCAAGTGGCCAGATGTCTGACCTCCACCTCTTAGGATCCAGCTTTATGCTGATTTTGATTCTCATTCCGTCTCTTGAATGTAAGGGTCTGGTGCTAAGAGGTTATGTATAAGGGAGCTTCAAAAAGTTGGTGGAAAAATGGAATGAGAAGATAATGGGCATTTAGGTTGTTTCCACCTTTTGGCTACAGTGAAGAGTGACGCAATGAACATTGGTACACAGGTTTCTGTTTGTGTTCTTGGATAGATAATAACTAGGACTGTGATTTCTGACCATGTTGTAGTTCTAGGTTCAGTTTTTTGAGGAACTATCAAACTGTTTTCCATAAGAGCTGTGCCACTTTGCATTCCCACTAGCAATGCCATCGTGTAGGTTCTGACTCATAGTAAACCTTGTATAGATAGGGTTTCTGAAGGATCTTGCTCCTGATCAACAAAATGGCATTGCAGCTGCCCCCAAGTGGTGCCAAATAAAGTCCCGCTTAAAAGCTCAGGTGTCCTAAAAACTTAAGTCTTTATCACACCATGAGAACGTCCCACCCCCTCACCCCATAGTTTCATGTTTCAAGAAAAACTCCATAATCCCACCCATTGGAAGCTTGCCAGAACTGTACCGGGGACCACACTGCCTTAAATACACCAGTCTATAAGGGACAGGTGGGCTCTTGGTCTCTATTGAGTTCCCCCTCCCAGGTTTACTCTCAATAAACTTGCCTGCTGTTGAAGCCAAGTTTCTCTCATCTCTTTCTTTCTTATTTCTTACAGTTTCCAAAGAGCAGTTGGTGGTTTGAACTACCCCTTGTGATTCCAAGTTTAGGGCTGATCCTATTGCGCCACACCAGGGGTTCCAATTTCTTTATATACTTGCCAACATCTGTTATTTTCCAGTTACATTTTTTCCCCCTTAATCTAAGTCACTCTGGTAGCGTAGTGGTTATGAATCGGGCTGCGAACCTTATGGTCAGCGGTTTGAAACTACCATCCGCTCCGCGGGAGAAAGATGAGGCTTTCTACTCCCATAAAGATTTACACCCTCGGAAACCCTGTACAGGGTCGCTATGGGTCAGAACTGACTCGACGGCACTTAACAACAACAATCTAAGTCATTCTAATAGGAATGAGGTGGTACCTCATTGTAGTTGTTTTGCATTTCATTAATGGAGTCCTGTTGTGGCACTATAGGAAAAGCACTGCACTGCTATCCACAAGGTTGGCAGTTCAAACCCACCAGCCACTCCTCAGATACTCTATACAGAGTAACTCTGAGTTGGAACTAGCTCAATGGCACTTACCAACAACAATGGTTAATGACATTGACTATCTTTTCATGGGATTGTTGGCCATTGGTAAGTCCTTTTTGGTGAATTGTCTGTTCAAGTCCTTTGCCCGTATCTTGATTGGTTGATTGTCTTCTTCTTATTAAGTTATAGACTTTTAAACTTTTAATGTCATATATGTATATATATATTAAAACCTTACAATGAATGTGAGTCCCCCAAATTTCTCCCAATCTGTATACTGTCTCTTCACTCTGTTGATTAAGTCCTTTGATGAACAGAAGTGTTCAATTTTTGTGAGATCCCAACGATCTATTTTGTCTTTTGTTGCTCATGCTTTTGGTGTCACATAATCCATTGTTAAAAATTAGTTTTCATACGCAGATCCCTATGTTTTCTTCTTGAATATTATGGTTTTAGTTATTACATTTAGGTCCTTGATCCCACTGAAATGGTTTTTGCATATGGTGAGATATGGTAAAAAAAGGAATACTTGTACAAATGAATTCACATCATATTACTGAAGAAAATAAGGAGAACAAACAACTCACAATTCTTATACTCTCTTTAAAAAATTATTAAGTTAGGACACTCTACGAAAGTGGGTCAAAAATTATCTGTACGCTGGCAGAGAATTTATTTTAACCAACTTTCCCTTATTAACAAATGTTTTAGGCTGAGGTGTGAGCCACAACTTCATGAGAGGTGAATCTTCATCCTCCAGGGACTATTTTCAGGGGACAAATAAGTGAAAGCCCATTGGAGCAAGATCGGGACAATAGGGAGGATGCTTTAACATCTTAAAACAAAGTTTTTGCAGAGTGCCAACAGTGTGGGTAGAGGTGTGTGGACATGCATTGTCATGCAAGAACACAGCACTCTTGGATAGGAGTCCTCTGTATTTCATCTAAAGCTTAGGCTTCAGCTCTTCAGTGAGCATCTCACTGTAATGAGCACTGCTGATGTTGAACCTTTTGTCCTGATGGTGTTCCAATACTGCCCCTTGAGAATCCCAGAAAACTGTAAGCATCAATTTTCTAGCAGATGGTTGACTTTTGAATTTTTCCTTTGTTGGTGATTGAGGATGTTTCCATTCTATACTCTGCCGTTAACTCTCAGGCTCGTAGTGATGAATCCATGTCTTGTCACTGGTAATGACTTTTTTTTTTTTAAAGAAACTTTCACCTTCCTTTGAGTATCAGTCCAGATTTTGTTTGTATATGCCCCAAAGCTTCTATTTATGCTCTTCTGTGAGCTGTTTTGGTATCCATCTCACACAAAGTTTCGAAACCCAAGTTCACGGATTATTTCATAGGTAGAGCCATTGCTGATTTGCAAATGATTTGCCACAAAATCCACTGTCACTTGCCTAGTCAACAGAATCATTTCACATGCATGCTCCATGTTGTCATCAGCTGTGGAAGTGGACAGGCATTTTAATATAAACTCAGTGTGGATAAATTTTGACTCACCCATGTAATAAGGATAGTCCCAGATTTTCTACTCTTTTTTTCCTGTGCCTACTCCATTTGTACCTAGATCTTAGTAAAGTATCCTGTGTGTGCTCTAATTTTACCTGCTTTCCAATGCTAAGCAGTTGTACATGTTCTGAGACAGGGTTTAGATAAAAACAGAGAGTACATTTTTGGTCCTCTCATAGTTTATCATCTAGCAAATGAGGAGATAATACATCATACAGAGAAAGGAGACATAATCTCACTGGTCAGTCAGAGGTATGACATTCAGTGCTAGAGAACTTCAGAAGTATGAACTATGTACCATGGAGGTTGGGGTAATCTGAACAGAGGAAGTATCATTTGAACCAGGAATGGGAGAAAAGTTAGACTGGGGAAAAAGAGGGAGCACATGCCAGGAAAAGTGACACAGAAAAAAGAGGCGAGGCTGTGTAAGGGACAGTAAGTGGTCTTACAACAACAGAAGGAGTAACAGGACATGATGTAGGAGAATTATGGGTTAGGGCCAGTGGAAGGCCCTGAATTAAAAATAAACCATCTGGATTTTATACTGCAGACATAGGTATCACTGAACAATTTTAAGTAGGGGGATTGCTAAAATAGCTGCATTAAGAGATAGTCTGGGAAGGATCGGAGATCTTGTAACAGTGCAATTCTAACGTTCAGATGTAAATGAGAGAAGGTAACAAAAGTTGAGAAGCAGAGTCAACAGCAATGAAATCTGTCCAGACTCTGTATGGGAATTGCTAGGGAAGGTTCAGTAGAGCAGAGACATATATGGCCCGAGCTTTTGAGCCTATCATTTAGGAGACTGGAAGCACCTGCTATGAATACAGTAGACTGGGTGGTGGAAGGAGAGGTCCCTTTAGGAGAATTGGGAACTAAAAAGGGCCACTGGGCTTAGTCCTTAGGGGTCATGAATGAGAGAGCCTGTATGTAGTGGAGGGGTAGGAGTTGTAAAAAACTGATGCAACAGACAGAATCATTGATTAAGTGTGGCTATTAAAGATGTTGTTGTTAAGTGCTGTCCAGTAAGTTCTGACTCACAGCAACACTACACAGGATTTCTGAGGCTGCAAATCTTTGCGGGAGCAGAAAGCTTCATCTCTCTCTCACAGAGAAGGTAGTGGACTTGAACCATCAATCTTGTGGTTCAGTGGCCAGTGCTTATCCTACAGAGCTACCACACTCCCCATTAAAGTCAGAAGTAAAATTAACTGGCAGCCACTTCACATCCCCTAGAATGACCATATGTGTAGTGTTAAGTAATAAGTATGTGCAGGATGTGGCGAAAGTAGAACTCAGATACTCCTAGTGGAACTGTGAAATGATGCAGCTGCTGTGGAAAACAATTTGGCAGTTACTGGAAAGGTTCAACACAGACTTCCCTTATAGGCTTGGACTATCATTACTAAGTCTATACCCAAAAGAAATGAAAACATAACTTCCCATAAAAACAAGTAAAAGAATGTTCACACAACATTATTTCTAACAGCTGAAAATTAGAAACCACTAAAACGTCCACCAACTATTGAATGGGTTAGCAAAATGTGATCTATCATAGAATAGAATATTGTTCAGACATAAAAAGGAATGAAATACTGAAACAAGCGACAACTTGGATGAACGTTGAAAACATTATGCTGAAAGAGGTCACAAAAGGCCTCATATTGTATGAATCAATTTATATAAAATGCCCAGAATCCATAATGGGGAATGGTTGCTATTAAATACCAGGCCTATTTGTGGGCAATACAATGTTCTAGAATTAGGTGGTAATGACGGTTGTACAACTAGAATCCAATAAAATGTACACTTTGAAGTAATAGATTTTATATGTGAATCATATTTCAATTAAAAAAATAAATTGGCAACTATATAAGATGACTTGGGTAAGTAAAAACTGTTCAAGTTGGCAGAGAATACACTTGAATGTGAAGGCAAAAGTAAGGGAAGAGTCAGTGAGAAAGAAGGGAGGGACATAAGAGAGGCAGAGGAGAACAATCAAGGGAATAGCTCTTAAAGAAGAGACTAAGGGAACCCTTCAAATTAATCAATTATCACAGAGGAAATGTCAATGTTTTAAGGGACATTTTCCTCACTGGGTAAAGCACTAAGTATAATAACTTTGGAAATGTTTGTCATTTACAAAAGCAAAATCCATTTATTCTTCAAAGCAAACCATTTCCACTTCATTCTACGCCTGCTGGTCTGATACCCAACCTTTGCTGAACAGATGCTAACTGTGACTAAGAGTTCCAGAGGTGCTCAAGTGCTCACACACATCTGGATACCTTATTTTATCCTGAATAAAAATGTCTTTGTCCATTCATTTTTGGTTTTCCTCCAAAGTTTATTCCCCACCTTAACCAACAGGAGGAGCTGTGTTCCCACTTTCTATCTGCTGTCCATGACCTGTGAAAACAGACACGTGTCTGAATCCTATAGTTGGGGAAGCTTTTTTCCAATAGCAGAGCAGAAGTAAAGGGGCTGGGTGAGGGACACAGGGCATAAAGATTTGAGAAATGATAGCTGAAGTACCTGTGACATGTCAGTAATGTTTAGAGACATCACCATTACCTGTCCTGGGTTCAGTGTAACCATATGTCTGTGAGCTTTCCGGAACTGAGGATAACGTTTTAAATCAGGATTGACAACACTGATCTTACTGAACACACTGGATTCTTCATAAGGGATTCTTGTTGGATAAAGGAAAGGAGTATCTTCAGGAGGAAAGAGTTGCCATCTTTTCCTGATTTAAAAAATGAGATATACGTTAGTACTCTGATTTTTAAACAAAACACTTAAGAAGGCAGTTGCTATGTTTGTTTTTACTTATTTCAATTCACAAAGGAATACAAGTACAGAAAGGCATCTTGGTGGTTAGGTGGATATGGTTATCTGTCTCACATCTGTGCTGGAATTCCCTCTGCGGATACCTGGTGGAAGGTGGAGGAACAACTAGTGGGCATCTCATGAATTCCTGAGGAGTCCCTTCCCTTGCTAAGGCAGGTTTCATACGTTAGATCATTCTCTCTTATCTCAAATCAAAATCTGGCTCTCCATAAATCCTGTCTGTCTCTGATTCTAGACCCAGAATAAGTGTCATCATTTCAAGTATCTGTATTCTTATCTTATCCAGGGTAACCACCCAGAGTGCTGGTAATCAAATAGTTTCCAGACTTCCCCTTGTTTGGGTTATACATTCTGTAAATTAAACATCTGTTAAGTTCGCCTGTTAAGGAAAAGCATCGGTAATGTCACGTAACTAAAAAGCAGTATAATATAGAAACTTTTTATAAAAAGAATATTGAACTTTTCTCAAAAACCAAATCTTCTGCTGTGGCATCCATTCCGACTCATGGTGACCCAACAGGACACAGGAGCACTACCCCAGAGGGGGTCCGAGGCTGTACATCTTTATAGGAGGAGCAGACAGCCTCATCTTCCTCTTGGGAGCAGCAGGTGTTTGTGAGGCCAATGCTTAACTTATTGCACCACCACGGCTTCCTGAAATGTCCTCGTCACTTAAATTTTCTTTTTTAACTGGAAGTCATAGAGCTCAACTCACAAAACACTAGATATATTCATATTCAAGCCAATGTTGTGTGTGCCCTTGAGCCAATTCCGACCCAAAGTGATCCTATAGACTAGAGTAGAATGGCACCATAGGTTTCCCAGACTGTAATGAATAAAACAAAAAACAACTTTAACACTTTAAAGATGCCTTTTGTAACAGATTTGCCCAATGCAATCTGTAATTTGATTTCTTGACTGCTGCTTCCATGAACATTGATTGTGGATCCACGTAAAATGAAATCTTGGACAACTTTAATCTCTCCTTCATTTATCAGGATGTTGTTTATTGGACCATTTGTACAGATTTTTGTTTTCTTTACACTGAGTTATAATCCATACTGAAAACTGTTATTATTATTATTTTTTTTACCTTTATAAACAAGTGCATCAGTCCTCTTCACTTTGCTTTCAGCAATCAAGGTGTCATTTACCTATTGCAGGTTGTTGATGAGTTTTCCTCCAATCCCAATGCTGCATTTTTTCATACAGTCCAGCTTTTCAAATGATTTGCTCAACATACTGATTGAATAAGTTCGGAGAAAAATACTACAACTCTAGAGCACACCTTTTCTGATTTTAAATTATTCAGTATCCCCTTGTTCTGTTGTAATAAATGCCTCTTGGCCCATGTACAGGTTTCTCATGAGCACAATGAAGTATCCTGGAATTCCCATTCTTCTCGATGCTCTCCAAAGTTTGTTATGATTCAGAGTCAAATGCATTTACATATTTAATGAAGCACAAGTTAACATCCTTCCTGGTATTCTCTCTCAGTCAAGATCCACTGATGTCAGCAATGATATCCCTTGTTCCATGTTCTCTTCTGAATCTGGCCTGAATTTTTGGCAGCTCTTTGTCGATATACTGCTACAACTGTTTTGAATTATCTTCCACAAAATTTTACTTGCATGCAATATTAATGATATTGTTCAATAATTTCCACATTCTATAGGGTCACCTTTCTTTGGATCTCTTCTAATTGGTTGGCCAAGTAGCTACCTTCCAAGTTTCTTGGCGTAGACTAGTAAGTACTTCCAGTGTGGCACCCATTTGTTGAAACATTTCAACTGGTATTCCATCAATTCCTGGAGGCTTGTTTTTTGTAATGCCTTCAGTGCAGTTTAGACGTCTTCCTTCAATTCTATCAGTTCTTATGTTTCCTCCTGAAATGGTTAGTTGCCGGCCAATTCTTTTTGGTACCCTGACTCTGCATAGTCCTTCCATCTTCTTCATACATTGTACCTTCCAATTATTAATGGAGGTGTGCAGCTGTTTCTTCTTATTTTGAGTCGTGAAGTAATGACTTCATGACTAGTATGCTAGTAAAAGAAGGTCCTCAAAGTTTTGCTCCACCAAGTCATTAATGTCAACTCTACTTTGAGGAGGCAGCTCTTTCCCAGCTCTATTCTGAGTGCCTTCCAACTTAAGGAGCTCATTTTCTAGCATATCAGACAACGTTTAGAGGCAATTCATCAGATTCTCAGTGGCTAATCCCTTAGAAGTGGCCTACCTTAGTTGGTTCTTCGTTTTGAAGTGCTGCTGAAAGTGTCCAACATGGGTGACTCTGTATTTGAAACACCAGTGGCATAACTTCCAGCATCACAGCAACACGAAAGCCAAGACAGTATAACAAACTGGCAGGGTCCTAACCACTGGTGGTTGTGTGCCATTGAGTCAGTTTTGACTCATAGTGATCCTGTGGAAGATTCCCGAGGCTGTAAGTCTGTATGGGAGCAGAAAGCCTCATCTTTCTGAGTGGCTGTTGGACTCAAACTGCTGACCTTCCAGGTGGCAGCCCAATGCTTAACTCACTCTACCACCAGGGCTCTGGGGGCAAGGGAGGAAGAAGAGTGAGAAAGTAAGAAAGAGAAATAGACTGACAGAAATGCCCAGCTAGGGAAGCAAAGCAGGTGAGAAAAGCAACCGAGTTTTTGAGAAAATCTTAAAATCCTCTAGCGACCCCTTGCAGTTGTATTGGGCCTATGATTTCCTTTCAGAAATGGGAACAACGTCCTGCTATTTTCAAACTAAGAAGTATACACTAAAGTTCTGGCTTGGAAACTGGAAGGTTTTGTAGGAATGATAAAATGCTTTACTTTTCAGAAATTCATTTTGGAACTGTAAGGCAGCCTATCCATTTACATAGCTTATCAGCTTCAAAATCAGTAACATTCAAAACTGTTAGTCTCATCTTAAAGCTTTAAGGACCAAGCTGCTGCATTCTACTAGACCTCAGCCTAGTTTGGGATGTTCATGATGTAAGCTAAGACTGTCAGGTGCCCTACCACGGCTTATTTGCAAGTGGAATTCACCTTGATAATTATCTTCAGATACATATCTTTCTAGTCATACTCCCAAAATACTGATCATCATAGAATGCTTAGAATGTCAGAGCTGGGAAGGCTCTTAGAGATTATCAATCTAATTTCATTTTCAAGAGAGGAAGAGACAAACTAGTGCTTGCCCAGTTTCACCCAGAGGGCTAGCAGGTAGTGGTGAAACCAGAACTAGGTCTCACATCTTCTGGGTTCTCTAGATCTGGGCTCCTTTCCTGCATTATTTCTGTTTCCCAAAAGGACAGGCACAATGATAACAGTCCCAAATAATCAGCTTTGCTTGACTTAAAACGTGAACTACATGTTTCCTTCTGCTAAGCAGAACGTCATGTCACCCTCAGGTTCCCTGCCTGGGAATCAAACTCCTCCATGCTCAGGCTCCAACCTGCCTTTCCAGCCCAATCCCTGTATCTGCAATGCTCAACTCACACAGCACAATAAACAGGGTCCTATTGTACATTCCATGTTTGACAGGGCTCTGTTCATGCAGGTCTCCCTGCCCTTCCCATCTCTGTCTTTTGAATGCTAAACTATCCTTGAAAGTCTAGCTCAAAAGATTGGGCAGTGCCTCTATAAAATCTCCCTTGGTCTCTAACAGGAACAAAATCTCATTAACCTTTCAGTTCCACAGCCCTGTGAAACCTTCAAGAACATGTGCATTCTGCCTCACAGCACAGCTATCTGTAGCCTTGCCTGAACTCTAGCTGTGAACCCTCTTAGGGTAGAGAAGGAGTCTTATTCATTCATCACTCATACACCTTTGTATCTACTGTAACACCTGGTACCTGCAGCACTGTTGTTGTTAAGTACCATAAGGTCAGTTCTGACTCTCAGCGACCCTGTGTAGGGTTTCTGAGGATCAGTTGGTAGGTTTGCACTGATAACCTTGAACTGATAACAGTCCTGTGCTGATCCTAAGCACCATACCAACTGTTGTTGTTAAGTGCCTTCGAGTCAGTTCTGACTCATAGCGATGCTATCTATACAGGGTTTCCCAGGAGCGGCTGTGAGTTTGAACTGCTGACAGTGCAGATCACCCGACCTTGCAATCCAGTGCATTAGGGTCTCAATAAATATTTACTGAATAATTATTTTATTATTCCAGAGCTAGAAAAGGCCAAAAACTATGCTCTATTGCAAAGTTAAAATAAAGCTCTACTTGTCCTAATGTGGTGCTGTGGGCTAATGCATCAGACTGCAAAGTTGTTTGAACTGCAAGGTCGGTGGTTCAAGCTCACCAGCTGCTCCTTGGAAACCCTATTCAGGGTCACTATGAGTAGGAATTGACTCGATGGCACTTAACAACAACAGTAACAATCTTATATCACAGAAAGAACTCAGGTTTTTCTTTTTTTTTTTTTTTTAGTGGTTTTCCAGCTCCAGTCAGGGCTCAAACCAGTTCATTCTGGTTCAATCCCTTATTTAGAATTTGCATTTCCACCCCAGATATATTGAATCAGAATCTACATTTTAATAAATCCTGTAATAATCAGGGAATCCTGGTGTGGCGCTGTAGGATAAGCACTCGACCAAAAGGTCAATTTGAACCTCAAGGTCAGGTTCAAAGCTGCTCCTCGAAAACCCTATGCACAATCGCTATGAGCGGGAACTGACTCGGCATTAACAACAACAATAAATAATAATAATCAGGGATCTTTTCAAATGTAGATTCTGATTCGGTATATTCACTGTTTCTCTGAGATCAACTCATAATCCATTCTGTGTCTAAAAAGTCACTTCTGATTTCCTTCTGTGCTGCCTTATAAATGCTCTGAAGGCCAGGAGCGGAGCCTGGGCACATGCAGCTCTGTGAGCAGATCCTTCTATTGGCCAAAATATACTCACATAACTCCTGTCAAAAACACTGCTTCACTTGGCCTTTCTATCTCTTATGGCCTATAGATTGTTGTTATTAAGTGCCTTGTACAGGGTTTCCAAGGATGCATTTGCAGGTGAAATGGCCATAAATAACATCTGGTCCAGCAGAGTTCACACCAGATTCTGGGCATCTATCTCCTCAGGGCAGGAGTGAAGCCGCTTCCTCTTAAATACCATTGCTCTGCTTTTATTTAAGTCAGAAGACCTTCAAAATACAAGTTCAAAAACTACCAATCTACATTAATATGTAAATGAGCTAAGCAGAGAACTGTCTACATGGACCCTGTATAGGGTTTCCGAGGAGCAGATGGTGAGCTTGAACTGCTGACCTTGCAGTTCAAACGGCTTTGCAGTCTGGCACATTAACCCACCGTGCCACACCAGGACTAATAATGCAAAATAGATATAACTGGACAGAATGGCTTCCAAAAAAGCAATGGAAATAATACTTTTATAAATATGTCTACATGGACTGGGAGTGAAATCTTGGGATTCAGGATCGGTGTTCTGACGGCAATCCTGATCAGAGCTGTGAGACGCCACTTAAACTTCCCCATCACTTTGTAAAGGTGGAAACAACCAGCAGTTAAAGAGCTTTGTTCTGACCATCAGGTAGGCTTACAGATAAGACTGAGATTAAACCTTGGGATCCTACCAGCCCAGCTCAGTGTGCAGTCCTGTGCAACACCCACCCACCCACTCACCCACACACATTACCTTCCTTGTACCTGGAATACCAAATTGCAACCATAGGAGTCCATATGACAGGGGGTATGGGCCCCCAGGGAACCAATCCACAATGTACTTTCTCGTCCATTTCTTCCAGGAAATCCAAAGTCAGACCATACCACATCCTGTTTTGAAAATAAAATTACAATCCACTAAGAACCAGTCAACTCTTCTGTATGGCAGTCTTGTGCATTTTCACTGGCATACCTGATTTTTGGTTCTTGCAGTATTCCTCTTACAGGAAATGCTACAATGGAAGAGGCTGGATTTCAGAGCTCCCCAAGAACTCTTGTTATCATTTGAATTACAGCTCTAGTAGTAGTCATTCTACAAATACTTCTGAGTAGACACTGAATGTGCCAAGGGTTTTTCTAGAGGCTTGTAATGACTCAGTGAACAAAACAGACAAAAATGCCTGCATGATAAAGCTCACATTTTAGTGGTTGCATTATTGTTGTGAAGTGCCGTCAAGTCGGTTATGACCCACAGCGACCCTGTATAGGGTTTCCGAGGAGCAGATGGTGAGCTTGAACTGCCGACCTTGCAGTTCAAACGGCTTTGCAGTCTGGCGCATTAACCCACCGTGCCATACCAGGACTAATAATGCAAAATAGATATAACTGGACAGAATGGCTTCCAAAAAAGCAACGGAAATAATACTTTTATAAATATGTCTAGTCACCATTTAGTTCACTGTTTTTATGATAAAACGTGTTTAGCAGCTTAACTTAGAAAGTCATAAAAGTTATCTTTCCTGTTGCTGCTGCTGCGTGCCTGCTAGTTGGTTCTGACTCACAGTGACCCTGTATAGGGTTTCTAAGGCCGTGACCCTTTATGGGAGCATGAAAGTCTCGTCTTTCTCCTGGGGAGCAAATCCAGGTGGATTTGAACTGCTGACCTTTCCATTAGCAGCCCAACGTATAACCCACCAATCACACTACCTGGCCTGTACAGTGCAGCTATCTCTTGGTATAAGTAATTTATGAAGTTTCTACACCTCAACGACTACATAAAAGATGCCTTTTCCTAAATCAGTGGAGTAATTGAAAATTATAGATGTCATCTCAGGGGACACCAGGGTCAACTGGCATAACATAGTCCACAAAGACAATGAATGCTCTACATCCTACTTTTCTGAGCAGTAAGTGAGATCTTAAAAGGTCATGGTAAGTCATCTAAGGGAAGGATGTACTGTTCTCTCCCTGTGCAGAGGAAAGGATATTGATCAAATTGGAGATGCTTCAAATAAATTAGTCCAGTAGACTAACAGAATACATGAGAATCAAACTCCAAAACCCTGAGACCAGAAGAACTAGATGGAGCCTGGCTACCACAACCAACTGAGAGAAAACGTAGAACAAAACTCAAAACTATGAAAAAGACCAGTTTACTGTTCAGAAAGAGACCAAAAGAACCCAAGACGATGGCCCTTGGTCACCTATTAGGTCTTTAACTGAGCTTACCCTTCATGGTTCAATTGCCAGCCAAGCAGTAGACAGGTATAGTGGGGGGAACAACACTAGTGAGGTATACACACCATGGAATGGTCAATCATTTTAGATCACAAGGTCAGCATTTACCTGAGGACAAAATTCTGAAGTGTTGAGAGAGAAGGGTGAATAGAAAGAAACAAGAATCACAGGGAGGAAGTGGGATAGCTGATATTACATGGAGGGGAATATAATCGTTGAAGTGCAAAGTATATGCTTTGTTTAATATAAAACTCATGATCTTCTCTGTAAACCTTCACTCAATTCACAATAAAGAGTTAAATAAATAAAAAAAACCCACAACTTCTAAAAAATCTAAAAATTATAAATGTCAGAGCCTCAGAATCTCCAGGTGGGGGTATCTTAGCACAACTTCACTGATAACTTAGTGTACTCCCAAAAGTCATGTATTCATGAGTGTAATAAATTTTAAAACAGAGACCGCGCACTGCTGCAGACTTGGATTCTCTTTATGACTGGTTTGATGGTCACATCAAGCCTAAGTCAATTATTGGAACTATCTTCTCTTTAATAGTCAACAATGACACTTGCAGCACAGGACAAGAGGGGCACATATGACCCCAATTCCATATGCTCAATTATTCATATGCTAGTGGTTACGAATCGGGCTGCTAACCTCAAGGTTGGCAGTTCGAAACTACCAGCCATTCCATGGGAGAAAGACGAGGCTTTCTGCTCCTGTAAAGATTTACAGCCTCAGAAACCCTGTGCAGGGTCACTATGAGTCGGAACCTACTCCATGGTACTTAACAACAACAAGAAGAAAAGAAAAGATAAAACAAAACAAAAAACACCTTGCCAGTGAGCGAGGCATGAAAGTTTTTGCTTTGCTGATGTTTTTAACTGTGAATTTTTCCTCTATTTTAATAAAGAAAAAAAATCAAAATAAAACCCAACTTACATGTGCCGAACATGGACCTAAATGCTGACACTTCTTTCATCAGTATCTACAAACTGTTTTCTATCTTTAGAGACAACCATTTTAACAGCTGTATTAAAAAAGAAAGATTTTGAAGAGCCATTTAGTAGATGCTTTTGAGGAAGATGAGGAAGAGCATTTTCGTTTATGAGTGATAAACTAGCTGGTCCGTGCACCTGACTAACTTCTGCTAGAGCAGGGGGAGCTTTGACAAGGTCAGTCCCACTGTCAATGCATATGGCTCAAGTGCAGCAGTTCCAGAAGATGGCAAACATCATGTCTCCTCAGGAGATAGCCTTAAGCTCCATGCAGACAGCTTACATCTGTATTCCCAGTGCCTAGCGTACTTTCTGGCTAAAGGTAAGTACTTCAAACATAAGCTTCTTGGGAGGGAAAGAAGATCTGTTGGCTTATCAGAGATAAATGGCTCAGATCAACAACATTTTTGAGCTTCTTCCATGGACCTGGTTTGATGCTAGGTGTTGGGCCTTACTCTTTAAATCTAGCAAGGAAGACAGATCTGTTAACAGACCATTTTAATTTAAAATGTCAAGGGTTCTGAAATAACCTGTGAGAGCTCTGAGAACATAGAAGGAGGATACACGGCCCAAGCAGAGAATTAGGGGAGAATTCAAATTCACCCGATTCTCACTGAATAATTCACCACACTTCAGTTTGAGGAATTTCACAAATGGCAGCTGAAAAGTTGTTGTTGTTGTTAAGTGCCATCCAGTTGTAGTGGTATAAAAAAGAAGATTTGCCCTAGCCAAGACAGATACACCTTGTGGGGAATCTCCTTAATGCCAAGGCCACCTCTCCTAAGAGAAATGCACATGTACACAAATTCCATGTATAGTTTCAGGGAGCTGATGGATGTTAGGTGGGAACTCTTGTGTTCTAGAGCCATGTTTCAGAAAGTCTCACATAAAAAACCTTTTTTCTACAGGGTAAAGAGTTACGGAACACTGGTGTGGTACTGACGGCTCAGCACTGGACTGCTTAGCCACAAGGTCAGCAGTTCAAACCCATCAGCCACTCTTGGAAACCCAACACAGGGTTGCTATGAGTTGAAACTGACTCGACGGTAAACAACAAGAAGGGGTTATTACTACGTGAGAAACTAAGGCTCTTATGACCTCTTCTCTGACAGAGTAGTGACTAATAAAAACTCAAAATTATTTTGAGAGGGATTACAACTGGGAGTAATCTACTGCCTAAAATCCAGCTGCAAATTGGTTGTGAAAGCCAAAGAAGAGTGGGAGAGGGAGGGCGTGAAGTGGCAGACAGTGAGTCATAGTAAATGGTCAGAGCATACCACTGAGTATAATTACTTTGACTTTTTCCACAGGCTTTTGAGAATTGATACTTTGTCAAGCGAGTTCAACTACTGAGATGAGTGAGGCCCAGGAGGAATCTGCCTGAGTCTTACTCACTAGCAACAGGTTCCGATGGTCTGGCTACATCACTTCATCCAGTACAGGTGGCTGCTCTCACTCACAGCCACTCACTGCAAGAGATGGAACAATCAACCCCCAGAAAATTCTATTCTACACTATTCCTGAGGAAAAACCAATCAAGCGTGTAGTGGCTGCCTACTACAAAACCAGTATCTGATTTTGTGTAACTTCCAGACTGTCTCAGATCTGCCTTCTAGGGATACAGAGAACAGTCTATTTTCTCTTCTGCTAAGAACTGCTGTCTCAGAAATTGTCATGTATTCTCCATTATTTATTTTTTAAACCTAAGCTCAGTAGCATTAATTTTTCCTTTCAGTAGCTCATCTCTCCACCTCTTTTACTTGGTCAGAAGAGCCCTAACAGCATGGTTGACAAACTGTAGCATGTGTAGTAGTACCCTGTGTATGGGACTGCTCTATCCCATGACCTGGACAAGCACACAATTAGCACTTCTTTATTTTTCAAAGCAAGAGAGCTAGACCATGGTTAACACTAGACTTGTCTACAGTCAATAAATCCTGGTATGATGCTGTAGGACACGCACAGGACGGCTAACTGCAGGTTGGCAGTTCAAATCCACTATCAACTCCTCAGAAACCTGATACAGGGTCACTATGAGTCTGAATTGACTCAATATCACACAACAACAACAATGTAGCCAATAAACAACAACAATGTAGCCAATAAAAGGGAGCACAATGCCTCTATAAGATAAGCACTAGACTGTGAACTACAATGTGGGCAATTTAAATTCACCAGTTGCTCTTTGTGAGAAAAAGGCGGCTTTCAGCTCCTGGAAAGATTTACAGCCTTGGAAATCCTATGAGTCAGAACCAACTCGATTGCACTTTAACAACAACATAGCCAATAAAAAAATCTACACCTTTTTCTTGTGGACTGTTCCCTAATCATTTCTCTTCAGCCTTGACTTAGAAATCAATTTTAGTAAACAGCCAGAGGATTCTGTATTTATCACACATAGTCAATATTGTTAGTTTCTGAGTGATATTTTATGTGTTTAAATCAACCGTTACACGTAACTCCCAAAACTATCTCCAGTCTAGACCTTTACTTTTGACTGAAAACAAGTTGCCTCCACTTACTTATTGAATCCTTACAGTGGAAGGAAGCTCTGACCCTCACATTTTAGATGTATTATCTGTTAGTCCTTATAAAAATTAAGTAGGTATCACATTCATCAACAAAAGGAATATGTCAAGATTTATCCTGAAGTACAA